GGGGGGGGGGGGGGGGGGGGGGGGGGGGAAGAGCAGAAGCGAAGGCTCAGGAGTCCTCCTGCTTGGCTGCTACTGCTGCTGCTCTTGCTGCCACGGCCGCCGCTGCCTGCTCTCTCGGCTGGTTGCTTTCCGCTTCTCTCGCCTGCCCTGCCCCCCGCCTGCCCTCCTTCCTGCCTTCTTCTTCCTCCTCTCCGCCTCGCCTTCCCCGCTCCCGCGTTTTCCCTCTCCCCGCCTCGAACTCGGGGCGATTCCTCGGGAGAGGGCGATGGGATTCCCGCGAGCTTTCAAGGCTTCTCGGCGGTCTTCCAGCCCCCCCCCGTCCCCTCCGCCAAGGCTCGGGGAGCGTTCCTGGGGCCGCCCGGCCAGAGCCTTCCCTCTGCCTCCTCCTCCTCCTCCTCCTTCCTTCCCTCCAGAAAGGCGTCCTTTTTCAAGTTGCAAAACCAAGCGGGGCGAAGCGGCCGGTCGGGAAAGGCATTCAGGAGGGGTCACCCTGGGGAGGAGAGGGAGAGGGAGCGGGAGGAGGAGGAGGAGGAGGAGGAAGAAGGAAAGGAGGAAGAGGAGGCGGTGGGTTCGCCCGACCCAGTCCGGGCCGCCCACAGCCCCGTAGCGTCCGAGCGGGCTAGCAGCTCGCACCGCGGGCGGAGAGAGGCAGGAAGCCGAGACGAAGAAGACCGCCAGGAGGCTGCCTCCGCCGCCTCCTCCTCCTCCGCCTCCGCCGCCTCCGCCTCTGTCTCTGTCGCCGCCGCCGCTAGGAAGGGTGCCGGTGCTGCGGCCGCCTCCGCCGCCACTGCCTCCTCCGCCACCGTTCGCTGCCGGGGCCCGACCGGGGGTGTCGCCGCTGGATCGCGCTCGTCCCCGCCGCGAGCCTGGGAACGGCGGGAGGCCGGCGAGAGAGCGGCCGAGGCGCAGCTGCCGCTCAGGGCGCGCGGGTGTCCGGGGGCCAGGTCCAAGGCAGCGCCGCGTAGTCAGCCATTCAGCAGAGGCGCTTCGGGAAGCTCCGGGGACGCCGAAAAGAAGGCAGGCGCGGAGGCCAGCGCCGAGTTGAGGAGGCACTTTGGGGCTCGCTCTCTCTCTCTTGCCGCCGCCGCTTCTTTCTTCGATCGGGTCTCTCCTTCTCTCCCTCCTCCCGCTTTTAATTTCGGGGAAAATCGACCAAGGCGAAGCCAGCAGCGTCGCTTTCGCCCGGCAGACGGAGGATCCCCAGCCAAGTGCCAACGCCAAAAGCGAACATGGAGAGAAGCGAAGGTTACACGCGCGCGGAGGGGAGGGAAAAAGCCAAAGGAGAGCGAGCGAGCGAGCAATCCAAAGTAGGTCGAATAAATAAACCCTCTTCTCCTGGCGCTTTCCTCGCTCGCGCTTCTCGCCTTCTTTCTTCTGCCGTGCTGGTGGCAAATAATCGCTGGCGATCGCCTGGGAAAACCGCTCCTCTCGCTCTTTTCCTTCGTTCCTTGCCTCTATTCGTTCCTTCCTTCCTTCTTTCCTTTGCTTTGCTTTTCTTTTTCTTCAGAAAAATAATCGGAGGGAGGAAAAAAAAAAGCACAGAGGCACAAAAACCTTCAGCCAGCCAAGGCTAAAGCCCTCCCCCAAATAGTAATAATAATAATAAAAAAAGTTAAAAACCGAACGATATGAAGATGTTAAAAAGGCGTCCCCTTTGCTCTTTTCTCTTTTCTTTTCTTTGTGGTCTTGTCTTTTTCTTTTTTCTCTCTCTCTCCTTTCCTTTTAAGTTTCCTCTCTCTCTAGTCTCGTGGAGAAGGAAGCGAAAGGCTCAAAGAAAAGAAGGGTGGAAAAAGAGAGAAGGAAGAAGCAGATAAGGGGGGGGGGGTTGAAATCAACTAATAGAATATGCAAGAAACGAGAGAGAGAGAGAGAGAGAGGTGGAGAGAGAGAGAGAGAGAGAGGCGGAGAGAGAGAGAGAGAGAACCAAAAAATGAATGCGTTTCAACGGGAAGACTAGCAGAGCAATGTTTCCGAAAGGGAGATCTGCGCGAATGTCTGTATATAGTGAACTTTGACACTACTATTGAAACTGACACGTTTCTATGGAGATCGCTGCCTTATATGGAGCTCATGTCAAGGAGCCAAGAGAGGGGCTGCTGGCAACTGATAATCAAAGGCGACTGACTGGTCAGAGCCCTGAATTGGGGGGAGAGAAAATGGGAGGCTAAGGTTAGCCAAGCCTCCTTCACTCCATTGGCTGAGTCTCCTCTCTCTCTTGTCTCTTTCCCTCTCGCTTTCTCGCTCCCCCCCCTTTTATTCTTTGCTACCTACTGCCTAAGATAGGGAGGGACGAGGGGGAGGGAGGAAGAGGGAGGGGGATTCTTCTGACAAGCACAATTTACACTGAGATCGCCCTGCTCGGCTATTTACTTTGAGACCTGATTAGTATGGGTCGTCTATGGTCACACACAGACGCACACGCAGGAGAAAAGAAAGGAAGAAGGGTGCGGGGGGGGGGGGGGGGGAAAGAGATGCAGTGGGCTAGGCAGAAAAGGAGAATTAAAAGGAAATTATTTTGGTTCATGGTAAAAAGTTTTTTTTTTTAAATTAGTTTTCTCTGTGTTTCTCTGGTTTCCCTTCCTTTCCTCCCTAAACACCCTGTTTAGGAATTACGGGGCTTGGATTGGATTCCATTGTTTAATGGCTGGAAGTAGATGGCTAAGGAGAATCCATAAGGGAAGTAAGTATTTAAAAATACATGTACGGTTCCATATGTTACAACCTGACATATTTCGCCTCTTTCTCTCTTCCACCACTCTGCCTTCTTTGCCTCGTTTTAAATGTGCCCCCCCCCCCTCCCGTTTTGTTTTGTTCTGTTTCCTTGCTGTTGCTCACGCCAAGATGAATGTCCTTAATCGGAAAGCAGCATCTCATTTCATTTGGAGATCCCATCTCTCTCGCTTTTTTTTATTTTTACTGCTTAACTTAAAATAGGTTGGTATTTTACATTAAATTCTCCTTGAACTCATCCCCCTCCCATCTGCTTCCATTAATATTTTTCTGTTGTCTACCTGAGGACCAGTGTTGCAAAAGAAAGTTGAAGTGAGAGAAAGAGAGAGGAAAAATGTTTAGAGGAGTGTATGCTGGGAATAGCGTTCTCTCTCTCTCTCTCTCTCTCTCTCTCTCTCTCTCTCTCTGTGTGTGTGTGTGTGTGTGTGTGTGTGTGTTGGGGCGGGTGGAGGACAGATTCTCCTTCCCCACTGCTAATGGAATCGCTGAATCGTGCTGCCATCTAGCGGGCAGAAAGAGAGAGAGGTCTATATATCGCCTCCCCCCCCCCCCTCCTTCCCCCGTTGTGTTAAGAGGAAAAAGCCCTAGCGGCTTATACAGGAGCAGAGCGGTTGTGAAGCCTCTTATTTGTCCCTTTAAATTCTAGAGGGAAAGAAAAATATTTAGCGGGTAAATATTTGTTTCATACGGACAGTGAAAAAATATATATATATATATAATTTTATTAACTTCCAAGACGTTACACTCTCAGTGCTCCGGTCGACACCTTTTCAATATTTCCCCCCCATCTTCCCAACTTCTACAAAAGTTCTAAGGCTAGAAGGCAGCGATTCCTGAGATATTAAGCCTGATTATTATTTTTTGCAGAGAAGCCAAAAGTTGTCTCGGTGGGTGACCCGGGTTCCCTTTTCTAGTTTCAAAAGTTCAGGAGCTCAGATGCAAGGGGCGCTTTCTGGAGCCAAACAAGACAGTTTGCAGTTTGGTGGTGGAATTAATGAAGGGTCGCTTCCCCCTCTCCACCCGTTCCCCCCCCCCCCCCCCCACCCCGCGCCGCAATCAGTTTTCCCTGCCAAGCCGTCCTTATTGTAGGTTGCATTGATAGAAGGGATGTTATTGAAAATGCCACCGTGGGCTTTTTTTTTCCCGCCTCTCTCCCTCTTTTCCAATAAACTCTCGGGTCCTGTATTCTGGTGGTCGCTGAAAAGGTGAAACGAATAAGATTAAATCTCTCGCAGGCACACACGCACACACGCACCCACTCAGCTCTGTATGTGTTTCATCTAAGATTTTACTCCCCGGACTGCGGAGAGACGGAGAAAAAAAAAAAAAGAGGCAGAGCAAGAGAAAAACGAAGAGGGAGGGAGAAAGGGGCGAGAGCGGGAGAAAGAAGCAGCGAGAGGAAGCCTGCGAGAGGCACCAGCTCCTTGGCGAGGTTTCTTCGGAGTCCGGATCCCCTCAGCTGGCAGGCAGCAGCCCCGGCCCGTCTAAGGCAAGTAGATTTTGCTTTCTGCCTCCTGTATTTCTGACAAAAGTTCAACCCTGCGAAGCAGCACCCAGCTGCTTTTGAGCTGAGAATCTCCCCCGCTCCCTCCCCGCCCCGCTTCCTCCTTTGACAAGAGTTCAACCGAAGCAGCAACTTGGACGGGGGAACTTTTAAAAACCTCTCTCGCTCTCCCTCCTCTTCTCCGCTTTCCGTGCCCGAACCGCTGTTCTTTCTCCCATCGCTTTAGCTTTTGTCAGACGCTGAACAGAAGCAGATCCAGCCTGGTTGGGATTTTCCAACCACAAACAGGTTGGAAGCTCTGGTGTGTGTGTGTGTGTGTGTGTGAGAGAGAGAGAGAGAGAGACTCCTCTTTGTGTAGGTGGGGAGCATAGGACGGGGACAGCTGTCTTGAGATAGGAAAATGGGAAAACTTAGGGGACAGGCGCTATGTGCAATAAATAAGCTACCTCGTTATCCCAATCTTAAAAAGAAAAGGCCAAATCTACTGACAGGTTTCCACGAAATGAACTGAACTTTCTCCACAATCCACCGAGCACCTCCAAGTAGGAGCTATGCCGTGTAGGTTTCGCCAGATAGACGAGTGAGTTTTCTTAAGAAACAGTCTCCGTTCGGAGCAGGCTCTTAC